CGTTTCATCTCCATGGACGTTTACGGCACATTTCAGAAGGCAGTCTTGGTATTTCACCCTGGTGACCTGTTTATCAGAAAGGGATTCCCACTGACTATCTAGCGCCTACTGTGCGACAGGTGCTGCTTTACAGATATTAACTGCTTTAGTGCTCACAACACTGCGGGACTGAATGTCTTACTATACTCATTTTAAGGTAAGAAAACAGGCACAGAAGGGTTATGTAAGCTGCTTAACCTCACATAGCTGGTATGTGGCTGGGCCAGGATTTGAACTGAGCCAGTCGTGGCCCAGAGAAGTCAGTTTTAATCACAATGGTGTATAAGGATGCTCAGGAGAAGGTAAAGATTTCTTTGGTGACTAGCAGGCTTATGGCCGTCTTTTTTTTTTTTTTGTACAGATGTGAAGAACATTAAGGATTTAAGTATAAATAACTCTTCTGAAAGATCTTCTTGCTAATGCATTTTTAACTTCTCCAAAAGAGTCATCCACATGCAGGCTTGCTTTTCATATTTTATCTAACAAACTTACATAATAATGCTTCCTATGTGCCAACCAGTGCTTAGACCCCAACCAGTGGTCTAAGCAAATGTTAAATATTCATTTCACTCCATAGGTAAGGACCACCATTATCCTTGTTTTTCAGATAAGAAAGCTGGGGTACTCACTGGCTGAGCCACTGAGCAAGTCACTTAACTACCCTGAACCTCAATTTTCATTCGTAAAATTGGGATAATAATACTCATTCAGGTATTGATTTCTTATCACTGACTGAATTCTTTACATCTAATAAATATTATACGTTTATTGGAAGCACTTAAATCAGTGAAACTATGTTGCCAGTGGGGATAAAATACAAGAAAATTTAAATATAAAATAAATTCTCAGAGAAGATTATCTATTGTACAAAACAGCAACATATAGAACATAGAATAATGCATAGATGTTAAACATTACAAAAGCCTCTAAAATAGATACAATATCTAAATGAGAACTAAAATATTTTCACCTCTTTGATCCATTCAAATTCTTCAATTCCATCATGTGAAAATACTAACACACAGATTCAAGCACCACACTAACAGCAAAAGGCTCAGATTGAATGACATTTGAAGAGATTTCGGAATAAGAAAACAAAGCTGAAGATAGTTGATCCTAGAGGTAAATCTGCCGGGGGAGGGGATGGGCTTATACTCAGAGGATTTTAATATTTACCTTGAGTTCATTATTTAGATTTCACAAGTGTTAGTTTTTATGAGTTGTTCCCATATCGTAGGTGACCTTGAAAGAAGAGCTCAGAAGAGCACTGTAATTTCTAGGTATCCTGATTTCTGGAGCCACTATTTCCCTGTCTGTGTCGAGTACTGATGGATCTAAATTGTGCACTATTCATAAATACACATCAACAACTGGCAAAACAATTACCAGCTGGGCTGTTACATTTTATGACCACATTAGACATAAGCATAGTTGCTAGGAAAGAGTTTTAACCACTTTTTACAAAGAAGCCTGAAAGGAATATGGTGCAGTCCTAAAGTTCCTTACAAAGAAAATCATCCCTACTGGTTTTTAAATGTAAAATGTGGCAACATGAAGGACTGTTCATCTTTAGATCCACTTATTTGCGAATGATGTGGAAACAGCTTGCCAGCCCATATTTCTGTTCTCACTGTCACCACCTGGTGTATCTCAATGCTCCTTGTCTGGGTTATGAATGACAAAAGAACCCTCAGACTTTCCACAACTTCAGTTTCTGACCACTGCCACCCCCCAGAGAGATGCCAGAAGGAGCTTTCATAACACTTTTACCTTGAGTGAAAACAGCCTTAGAATTCCTTAGAATTTTTAGAATTCCTTAGAATTCATCATACCTTTGGTTTTTGAAGCTTTGGGTCGAAACTCCCAGCTTAAAATAGCCAGCCTGCTTTTCAAACACTCTCTCCTGTATGCTTTTTCCTTCCTTTCTATTTGTCCAAATCAAAACTATCTTTCAAGGCCTGATGGACACCTTACCTTTTCCACTAAGTTTCATAAACTCTCCAAGCCAGATTACTGTCACTTCTTCCAATGAGGAATTCCCACTGGGTTCATAGACAGTAAAGCTGAGTTTAGTCCTTCTCTTGGTCTCTAATTGCTTCATGTTTCACTCAAATTGTTTCATACCTATTTATATTTTTTCTGTAGTTTACAAGCTCCTGGAGGACAGTGACCATATCTTATTAATCATTTGAGTCCATTAAAGCATGTAGCGCATGATAAGCATTTAAAATGTACACGCTAATGAGTGAGGCATGTGATAGCTCAACATAAGAATTAAAAAGGCTCCTTGCCTCTCAGAGGAATTGGTAGACTCCAATAAAGTTGGCCTTTCCAACTTTATTAGCTTTGCACTGCAATTTTTCAGTATATCAAACTCTGGCTCCTAGAGATCCAAGCCTTGAAACAGAATTCTTAACAGATTTCAGTTACTTTCTCCAAGACCCCACTGGCTTAGACAATGGGTTTAATACAGACTGAATGTTAAATCAACATCACTAACTGGACCTATGCTGTCTAGTATAATAGCCACTAGGTCCATGTGGCTACCTTAAATATAAAGTAATTAAAATGTAATTAAATAAAAATTAGTCCTTCGGTCACACTAGCTACATTCAAAATGCTCAACAGCCAATGACTCCTGTTGTTGGACACTGGATAGCAGAAGAGCCACCACCACAGAAAGTTCTATTGGACGGTGCTGGAGTCAATCTAAAGTCTCGCCAAAATTCGTATGTACATTTGTTGGAGTAGCTGTTTACCTACATCACAGAATGCTAGGACCAGAACTGTGCGTCGGCAAATAGACGTCCACCTTACGATGTGGTTTGGAGGCACTGGGAAGGCTCACCATCCCATGAAAAAACCCGCAAGACTCACCTTACCAAGAACTACAACGGCAAATTGGAGCTCCACTCACTCGGCTTAGGCCAAACAGGGCACTTCTGCCTTGGAAAGTGGTAAACGTTCCAAGAGAAATACCATGTTCATGGAAAAATACCTCAGTCTATTTTTTGACAGGGGGTTGCATGGAAAAAGCACAAAGAATTAGAATGAGCAGAAACTCCTGACAGGGAAAGAGGGATGCACAGGAGAGGAAGGGCCTAGAACGTGGCGTGTTTCCTGGCTGTGACGAGGTGCAGTCCTGAGTGTGCCATCTGAGGATGGCGTCTACCGAGGACAGCAAATCTGGGGAGATCCCAGATGCTTGTATACTGAGGGGGCACAAGCCCCTCTCAGAGAGTGAACGGTGAACTGAGAGGGTCCTAGGAATGCTAAGAAGGCAAATTACATAAAGGAAATGGGGTTTTGAGACCACAGCTATGCCTCAAAAATATAACTGAGCATCTCACTCTCCAGCCCATGGCCCAACTTTACACACAGACAAGGCAGCATGGAGAGGAGAAGTGGTTTTGTACACACCGTGTTCATCCTTCCTCCCCTTCTCCATGAACGGGGAGCCTAGAAGGCATGCCCTGGATGCCTCGCTGACTCGTGAACCAGTTTGAAGGCTTGGCCCTGAAGACGAATAGGCTTGTGACTTTCCAAGGTTAGTAGTTTAAGTACAACATTATTCAGATTTACACATTTAGCGTGTTTTCTTAAAAGGCTGTTTTCTACTTTATGAAGTCATAGTTAATACGCTTAGGATAATCTATACAAGTGGAACATAATCTAAAAACCGGGGCAACGGTGCTGAGTTTTCTGCCAGTACTGGTGCTGGAAACAAGCCCTTCCCACTTGGCCTCCCAGCCGGCTGCCAGTTCTCGGGAGAATCCTACACCCCACCAGCCCCGAGGCACAAGGCTCTGGGGTTCATTCCCCAAAACTTCTGTGGGGTTTCTTGTACCTCTCCTTTTCTTCCCCCTCTACGTTCATGATTAACAGAAAAACCTTCTTGTGAAGTCACTCAAGTTAGAGTCACATCCCCCAGTGGTTTCAGTAAGTGCTAACATGAGACACTTTCCAATCAGAAACAACGTAATACGAGCACGTGAGCTGATTTGTTCATTGTGAATGTGGCAGCCCTGTTGAGGGACTTACAGAAAGGACAATAGAGATGGCTGGACTGTTAAGTGATTGAACAGAAACCAAAGGATGCTCATTAGAAGTCACTGTCAACCTGAGAGAAAGTTTTATGACATGGTAGAAAGCCCCGCCCTCAGCCATACACTCCTGAAAATATTTGACTCCTTGAGACACAGACAGAGAAAGTATTCAGTTCTTAGATGACATAAAAATCACAAGGACAGATTTCATGATGTCAGCATTTAAGTATGGGACGCTTGTTAAAAAATTATAGACCCCTCAACACTCAAGGTAGGGGCTAGGAATTTAATTTTTGCTAGCTTTCTAGGTAAATCTGAGAAGGGCTGAACATGAGAAGATTCAGAGTGACAACAAGGCCGGCAGAGTGAAGCACCTTAGCAGGGATAAGTTTTGATCACCCCAGTTACACCTTCCAAACAAACAATGAAAATGGTTTTCTTGCTTTCCTATCATGTAAATTTGCGGAATTTGAGAGCGGAAAATAGGGAAGAAACGAGTTCTCCTGGCAGTTCTTGTTCAGAAGATGGGGGACTCTGCTTGTGGGGAGGAACCTGCAGTAGATGAGATGGGGCACCTTTTCCAATAACTTTTTATCTGAAAGCAAGTAAGACAGTTTGACCACATGACCGGACATTCAGTGTCCCATGATATTGAGTACTTTGGATTATAAATACGACTAATTGAGTATGTAATTAATTGATTTTGTCTTTACTTAAACATAAGAGGGAAAGTTGCTTTAGGATTTTATAGGACTTACGGAGAACCTCTGCCATAGGTCAGAATGTATTCCTCGTTTCAGAGAGCCACATTACGACAATTCAAAGCGTCTCGCGTTGAATTCGACCTTGCCCTCCGCCGGCCCCCCTCCCCCGCCGCCGGCCCCTCCCCCGCGCAAATCAGCGAGCCCCGCTTACCACGGAGATGGAGCCGGGAAGCAGCGCGCCGTCCTGCCCCAGCATGTTGGACACGGTGATTTCGGGGAGGTCCATGTTTTGCGGGTGGAACGGGAGCAGGCCATTGTGGTTCATGGGGTGACACAGAGAGTGGTAGCCAGGTTCGACTTCGTTCAGGTGCACCAGCGAGTGGTCGGGGAGGGACGGAGGGGTGATGGGTGGAATGTTGAAGTCTTCACTTTCCAGGCTTGGCCCAGGGTACGACTGAAAAGGAACAGGGACATGGTTGCAAATTATCACCCCTTCTCTTCATCGTCGTGAACAAACGCACAGGACCCCTTCAGATACTCCCAGCAGCATCCTGGACTCGGCAGGTAAGGTTATCCCGCCGCCGTTTCACTGTTATGCACGGAAGGACTGACCTCAAAGGCCTGTCCATCTCCCGCATAAAGAGCGCCTCCATAAGGCAGCTTTATGTTCCCAAGAAGCTGGACTCAACCAGATTTCAAAGTCCCCGTTAAAATTTTCCAGAGTTTTAATCTAGCTCAATACCTTTTTTTTTTTCATGGGAATTGTGGGGCAGGAAGGCAATTTATCAAATTAATGTTTGATCAAACATGTTTCATAGGGCTCACTACTGCTCAGATTGTGAGATGTAATAAAATGAATTCCAGAAGCTCTGGGGCAATTGCTTTCAGGTTTTGGAGAACCATGTGCTCACAATGCACCAAAGAAAGAGAATTAGGAAAGAAGTCACTTAAGTACGTTGCACAAGTGTGGTTGCAGAGAAAGTCTGGTATATGAAGAGAAGGCCATTAAAAGCTATTTTTATCACAAAGATTATGTCATCAAAATAAAAATAACATGGCTTTCCTGACTTCTGACTACTCTCACTTATTTAATTTTCCTCTAAAACATGATAAATAACATTGCAATCATTTAAATTCAGTTTGGCCAATTTCAAAAGGCAAAAATGACACTAATTGTATTATAATACTAATTTAGGAATAAAAGTCAATAAGTAAAACAAGTAACGTGGGCTTTTTCTTTCAGTAAGTAGATTTTTAATTTTTTTTGCTTTTTAAAATCTTTAATATTCTTTTTTATTCTGATAAAATATACATAATATAAAAGTTACCATTTTAACCATTTTTAAGTGTATGGTTCCATGGGACTATGTACATTCACATTGTTGTACAACCATAACCACTGTCTATGCTCGGAATTCTTTCATCACCCCAGAACGAAACTCTGCACCCACTGAACAATAGCTCCCTCTACCTGCTCCCCCCAGCCCCTGGTGACCGCCATTCGACTTTCTGTCTCTATGAATTTGCCTACAGAAAGTAGCTTTTAGATAAAAGGGGAAGGGAGGGAACAAAGACGGAAGGAAAGATTATATGAGGCCACGCCTGCGTAGACATGGAATGTGGTAAACACTGAACATATAAGGAGGAACCGAATACTACAACATTGTTCCCATTCATATCAAAACAGTGATATTTAGCGGTCTTTGGAGATCAGGTGTCATAACACGAAGGACACAAATTGGGTCCCGATAACTCTCGTGAGCCTGTCTCTCAAAGTAAGCGCTTCTTCCTGGAGTCTGAGCGCGTGGGTGACAAGGACTCGCTTGTCTGACAGCAGCCCTGCTGGACTGTGTGAGATCTGAAATGAGCAGGCAGAGGGCAGGCGCCAAGGAAAGCAGTGTAAGGTATTCACGGGGTGTGCAGCCAATAAGCTCCATACTCCTGCTTCCAAGCGCCTGGAGTTATTTTTTCCAGATGGCGTCTATTTGTCTAACAGAAAGAAAATCTTCAAGTTGCACTTGCTAAATGTTGTACGAGTTTTGATATATTTGTTGAGGTTTTGTCAGAAGACATGATTAAATGAAGAGCTCCTTGGAGCATCTGGCACTGAGACTGGGTCATGTAGAGGCACGTGTGGATTAGAGACTAGGGGTGTAGGAAGGAAAGATTTGATTCATCTCTGCAGATAATTTTTCTGAAATATCTGAAGTTCTGCTAAAAGAAAAAAAAATCACCCACACTAGAAGTTCAAACATCAGTTACCAAATTTTTCTGTTTACAGTATCTATCTCGTCAGAAAAATATATTAGTGCCCTGTGTCAAGATTGCAAGTTTGATTAAACTCTTGCTTGCCTGAGATATTTTAGACCTTGAATCTGTAGATCTAAACCATCAGCCCCTACTATAAGTATTCATATAAGAAGAAACATGAAAGATGCAAAATGGGCGGGGGGGAGGAAGCACGTTTATTAACGCTGAATTCGCGTAAAGCGCTGTATTGAGTCCTTTGACTAAACTGTCTTCATCCAATCCTTACAATAGCCCCTTTGTGTAGCTATTATTACCCTGTTTTCCTAAAGAGAAAATTGAGTGTCTGAAGTTAAACAACTTTCACTCAGCTGGTAAACAATCAACTCACTACATTTGAGGGATGAATATACGAAAGAGGAAGGCATTGTTATTGCTGATACTACTAAAAGTAGTTTAATTGCTATTATTTTATTAAGTTGAATGATACAAAGTTGCCAATACTCAACTGTTTTTGATCAACAAAATTTCATAATTTAAGAATTAGTAACAGCGTTAGTATCAAGTTTTTCCTCTTCCCAAATTCCATCCCAATGCCCATCCCATTAAAATCAAATACTTACTCTATATGAGCACAAGTATTCGTAATTTGTTTGTCAACATTTCAAAGGCTGAAGCTATTGATCTGTATCTTTGAAACTTTCCTGAATAAGGTAGAATTAATGCCAGCCATAAAGGAAAAAGATGCTTTTAATTTTATAAATGCCATTAAACCTCTGAAAACACTCAGGGATACTCTGCCTATGGTACACTGTAACTTTACATTCTAGAAATTCTCCAGGAGTTAAATCTTAGTTTGCAGTGTTTTAAAGGAAGGTTTAATTGGTATCACTTTACACCCAGTGATAACAATTGGACTGCAATTTAAGCTACATGGTTTATTTTCATGTAATTACATGTTAAATTTACTTAATCCATGCACTTACATACCGAAACCACAGATTCCACAACTTAGCCGGTAATGGGGAGTTATGTGGATCAAGAATTTTAACAACAGAAGGTTACTTAGTAGTTTCTGTTCTTTACATTAGAAGTCATGAGATAGGTTTTTTTTTTTTGCAAGGAATCTATTACAGTGTAACTGATACTAAATAAAAGTATCGTGGTAATTGTATAAATGTCAAAATGTCACAGAGCTCACAACAACTTCAATGCCAGACTAATTGCTAATTATTTTTTAATTTGGAAATGAATAGGGTAGTTCTTCAACATAGATCTTAATGGCATAACATCTTGATTTTGGTTTCTTAAAACTTAACAGGAGTAAGTCTGACTTAACCCTATAAGTTATGTCTTCGAGATGACCTGCAGTTTTGGGGTAACAATCAGATATGAGTTAATATTTTCCCTTATTCCCCGTGAAGCTGGCTGGTTATAAACAATGTTCTGTTTGTTGAATGAATTAACAAATGAATCTCTGAATGAATGCATACACCAGTGAATGAATGAGAAGGTGGTTCTTCAAAGTCATGAAGTTTATGGATCTACTGCTGTTACTCCATGGGCTTGAATAAATGCCCAGTATTCCCGAGACTTGGTTCATTCTTCAATTCTGTTGAGACCAAAGATCATTTGATCCTCCCTAAGACCCTTGCATATCCCTATGAGACACAGGGCTATGTTGTTTTTGTCTTCGTCTAAGAGACCACCAAGGAGTCAGTCCACGTCTTCTGAGAATCTGTGGGGCTGGGTTCCAGTGCACCCAGCAGGTGCCAGCTTCCAAGGTGGTACCATCTTCCCATCAGCCTTGAGAGCGCCTTACCCCTCCCCATCCAGAGATCAGAATCTTCTCAGCGGTCTGAGCCACATAGCTGCCTCCACCCCAAGAAATGATAAAAGTCAGTGGTGACCATCTACACAAATGCAGAGAAGTACTTAGGGTTAATTAACGGTATGGAACTCGAGTCAATGCATTAAATTTTATCTTGGATCGTCACCATGTTAAGGAAGGTAAACTGGAAACAAAGAAGCAGGCAAAGGGGTCTGCTCTACACTGTAGCCAGTCTGCATGATCTCCATGCTTCAAAGAACTCAAAATTATATTACTCTTGCTCCACCAGATTCTCTCTGAGCCTAAGCTTCTCACTGGTCCTAGACACAGGCCAGTCTCATTCTGCTGCTGGTGCTGGGATCTGCCGTTGCCGGCTCCACCCCTGACCCGGAGACTCTGCGGGCCTGTGTGTGTCCAGTGAGCAAGAGTCAAGAGTCATGGAAGATGAGTAGGGTGGGCTGTACCCTCACGAAGCTTGGCTGATGCTGGAATATAGATGAACTTTTCAAAGGCCACAGGGGACTGCTGGAAGCCTTCAAGTAGTAATTTCAGAACAGTATCATCCTCAAGAGACTATTTTTAGGGTTCTAAATAATAGACCCCGTGACTAGTTCAAGTCATTTTTCTTAAAACCTTACCACTGGCATTTGCACATTTAGCTTACAAAGCGCCACATCTTTCCCTAATGAGGAGACAGATTTGGACCGGCTGAGAGGCTCAGGACGCTTCATCGGTGCCAGATGAGAAGGCCGCAGAGCGTGCTGGGAAGCTGGTGCCTCTGCAGCCCGGCAGTCAGCGCTGCTCCGGGCTCCTTGAAGCATGTTATCAGTGCAGGGTCCGGGGCAGGCTTCTCGCTCCTGGTGAGCCTCAGTTTACAGTGACCCTCAGGGGTCCTTATAAGCATCAAAGCAAAAACATACGATAGGTGAGAAGCCTAGCGATATGTCTGCCACATAGAAAGTTCTGGACAAAGGGCAGCTTCAGCCTAGCCACGGTTATTGTCAAATGGGTTGACAGATGCCACGGATTGGGTCGTGTCCAAGAACACCAACAACTACAGACCGAATAGGAGAGGTTTAGACTTCGTTATGAAGGAATCTCAGCCTATTTACCATCGATCAGACCTCATACTGAAGCCAAGTGCAGGCCATTCATACATAATGCATTCATTTTATTGCTCCCCATAAATAGCTTTTGCCTTTATTTTAATGGAACTAAGTTGCATTTTTGAAACTAAAGAATAAGAAAAGGTAGTGGGAAACGGTGAACAGGCGAAGGATGCTGAGGAGCTCAGGCAAGTGCGGAACTCGGCTCCTGCAGAGCACCTGCGGCGGGCCTGCCCCGGGCGCGAGGCGGCCCCATCCTACAGACCCACG